GCATTGAAGTTTCATATCAAAACTTCAATGTAAAAGTTCAATGCATTGAACTTTTGATACGAAACTTCAATGCATTGAACTTTTACATTGAAGTTTGGATATGAAACTTCAACGCATTGAACTTTTACATTGCAGTTTTGATGTGAAACTTCAACGCATTGAACTTTTCACTTTGAAGTTTTGTTATGAAAGTTCAATGCATTGAACTTTTCACATTGAAGTTTTGCTCGGAAAGTTCCTCTCAAAACTCTTAGAAACCTCCAGTCTGAACCCCTAACACTCTATTCTCAACACTCAAATTCTCAGACCTTCAAACAAAAAAGACTCTCCAAAGTCTGAACCTCCAAACTTTCGATAGTCTTTTCACAACGCAAAATCTGAACTCTCACAACATTACGCAGATGCAACTCTTGTTTTCACAATGCGTGCAGCAGGTTTCCACGAGCTCTATACTCTACTCAGAAGTAGTCACCTCAAAGTTCACATCAAAACTCTTAGAAACCTCCAGTCTCAACCCGTAACACTCTATTCTCAACACTCAACACTCTCAGACCTTCAAACAAAAAAGACTCTCCAAAGTCTGAAACTCCAAACTTTCGAAACTCTTCTCACAACGCAAAATCTGAACTCTCATACCTCTCAAAACTTCATTTCCAATGCCAAGTGTGCGGCTATATATGCAGTCGTCGCTTTTCTCCTCCTCCAGGCTTCATATCCGAAATCTTTGGGACAACTCCATTGCAGTGTTGTTAGAGAAAGGTAACATGGAAGCTTAGAGTAGAAGGACTGGTGAACTAGCTTGACGAATAGCGTCAGTCGAGATCCTGGTCGTCAGCAAGGTCTGCAGTGTTGCCTGCTGTGCCAGCATCATACCACTTTCAAACAACATTCAAAAACTCTAAGAAACTCAACATAACAAACATCGTTCAACTCTCCAAACCCTCAAACATGCGCTCGTTGGAAAACTCTCAAAGCTCTCTAAACTCTCTATGTACTCTGAGTCCACTGCTTTCCGGCACTGATGCTCCGCCACGTTCGTGGCCTGTAGTGCCAGCATCATACCATTTTCTGAAAACATTCAAGAACTCTAAGAAAATCAATATACCTGACATTGTTCAACTCTCAAAACTCTCAACAACTCTCAACTCTCTCAAACATGCCTTCCGGATCGATGCTCCGCCACCTTCCTGGCCTGTAGCGCCAGCATCATACCATTTTCTGAAAACATTCAAGAACTCTAAAAAACTCAACATAACAAACATCGTTCAACTCTCTATGTACTCTGAGTCCACTGCTTTCCTCCTGCTTCGCTTCCGACTTCATGCCTTCGTGGCCTGCTGTGCCAGCATCATACCACTTTCAAAAAACATTCAAAAACTCTAAGAAACTCAACATAACAAACATCGTTCAACTCTCTATGTACTCTGAGTCCACTGCTTTCCGGGATCGATGCTCCGCCACGTTCGTGGCCTGTAGTGCCAGCATCATACCATTTTCTGAAAACATTCAAGAACTCTAAGAAAATCAATATACCTGACATTGTCCAACTCTCAAAACTCTCAACAACTCTCAACTCTCTCAAACATGCCTTCCGGCATCGATGCTCCGCCACCTTCCTGGCCTGTAGTGCCAGCATCATACCATTTTCTGAAAACATTCAAGAACTTTAAGAAAATCAATATAACTGACATTGTTCAACTCTCAAAACTCTCAACAGCTCTCAACTCTCTCAAAAAAGCCTTCCGGCATCGATGCTCCGCCACCTTCCTGGCCTGTAGTGCCAGCATCATACCATTTTCTGAAAACATTCAAGAACTCTAAGAAATTCTCTCAAACATGCGCTCGTTGGATTAGCATCTATCCACACGAAAAATCTTTCTGGATGTCCTTGAGGAGTCAGAGGGGTCACAGGATTGAGGACTGCTGCCTTGGAGCCTCAGCCCCACAACTATCGCACTTCCCAAAACTCCAATCAAAGCTTCAACATAACTGGCATCGTTCAACTGTCAAAAATCTCAAACATGCGCTCGTTGGAAAACTCTCAAAGCTCTCAAAACTCTCTATGTACTCTGAGTCCACTGCTTTCCTCCTGCTTCGCTTCCTCCTTCCCTTCCTGCTTCCTTGGTCCATCACCTTCGCGGACAACACTCTCAAAACTATTGTTTCAACTGAAATTGTAAGTCTCAACTGTCAAAACTCTCAACAACTCTCAACTCTCAAAACTCTCAAAACTCTTAGCTTTGTTTTTGTTCTTGATTTAGACAGGCCTGGAGCTTCATCATGTGTAGCGACATCTTAGTACCAAACACATTCAAAATAGATTGTCAGTATGCCAGGTTGTGCAGCTCTCAAAACTCTCTATACACTCTGAACTTTTCAAGCACCAAGCTCTCCACCCTGTTGCTTAGCCGGCTTTGGATCTGAATCACACCAGCATCACAACATTTTCAGGACACATTCAAGAACTGGCATCGTTTCACTAGTCTTGATATCTCAAGGCCTCCAATGTATCTCTTGTACAGCGGGCTCGACAGGAATTTCCACGCACTCTCAAGCTCGCCTGCAGGAACATATATATATATATGCATATAAATATGTTCATGAAAAAACTCTCAAAACTCTCCGCAACTCTTGGACAGCGGATGTCCTGCTGTTTGCTCTTCTTTGTCACCCATGGATCCTGCAAAACTGACAGTTGAGAACCGCGCAATTGCTCCTGAAAAGTGAAAAGTGGTCAATCCTGGCACTGGCTCCGCCAAGGGTGGCTTTCCTGGCCATTCTGAAGTCTGACAAAAGTCCAAACTCTGAAAACTCTCAACTGAAGAAAAGTTTGCGTAGTCAAACAACTCTCAGAACTCTCACAACGCTGCAACTCTCCAAACCCTCAGTCCCTTTATCGTGGCCTTTTGGCTGCTTTTGTGGTGGGCCTGGCCACTCTGAAGTCGGAAGAAAGTCAGAAGAAAAGTTTGCGTAGGCTGTAACTCTCCAAACCCTCA